CTGTGTGATGCCATCATGTCAATATGGACCAAAATCTCTGAGGAATGCTTCCAGCACCTTGTTGAATCTATGCCATGAAGAATTGAGGCAGTTCTGAAGGCAAAAGGGGGTCCAACCCGTTACTAGCGTGGTGTACCTAATAAAGTGGCCGGTGAGTGCATATATATAAGTTGAACGATCTTTTCCACTGAAGACAGTGTGGCAGGCTGGGTATTGTAGTCCGACATCTTCAGCCCTGTTGCATTATTAAAGCATTAAAAATCTGTATGTTTAGTTTATTACATATAGGAAAGCGATTACCACAATGATGTTTATTGAGTTTATAATATTTTTTATATTTGGAGAAGGAGCTAATGGCGTTTGGTTGTTTGTGACGGCAACTACATTTCCCACAATTCCAGAGGTGCATGCTGCCTGGTGCGGACGTGTTTGACACTTATTTAAATATGGGGTTTCCAAGTCGAGCTGGCTGACCGCTAAATCCTTACGAAGATAAAATCGTAGTACGTATATTTAATTTGAGAATGTCGTTTCTCTAGATTTGAACTCGCATATGCTTGTGATAAAGTAACGTGAGTAAATGAACGCGTGAAAATAAGACACGAACTGTTCAGAGACAGCAGTGGGAAGGTTTAGGTCTGGTTCTGCCCTTGTCGCTGGCCATCAAACGACATTTTTGTTGTAAGTATGGCGGTAAATTAATTTGAATATACAATGTTTAAACTTCGTTGTTGTTTTAAAGTATACATTTTATGTTACACCAGGTTTTGAACGCCTCATCGTAAAGCTATTTAGAGGTTTCTAAAATCCTAAACAGTTTTGGCAGTGGAGTGCATCATCTTGCTAGTAAACGATCTTTGGCGCTAGCTCAAGCCCGGACCAGAGAGCCCAGTGGACCCGGGCAGCGAGGCTCCAGCTTCGGTATGATGCCAGCCGACAGCACCATGACTTCCATCGTCCAGAGAATAGCCCGACAGGCGCTGGTCACCTTCCGCAGCCCGCCGGGGCCCGGCGAAGAGGCCGCTAAGTCTTTCTTGGAGAACCTCAACAAGCTGAAGAGCCTGACGACGGAAGTGCGAGCGGCTGACTTGAAGCTCGTTCCGCGGAGAGCCGAGGGCAGCTCGAGCCGTGCGCTCCCGTACCACCACGGGGTGCCCCCGGTCACCTACATGCACATCTGCGAGACGGACCAGTTCAGCATGGGCGTGTTTCTGCTGAAGACCGGCGCCTCCATCCCGCTGCACGACCACCCGGGGATGCACGGCGTGCTGAAGGTGCTCTACGGGAAGGTCCGGATCAGCTGCTTCGACAGGCTGGAGCGGTCCTGCGGCAGCGCGCCCCCGCACCCCACCGTCCCCGCGGCCCAGACGGGCTCTCTGCGGCGCTCGGTGCTCCGCTCCACGGCCGAGTTCACGGAGGAGAGCGGCCCGTGTGTGCTGTCCCCGGACCGGGACAACCTCCATCAGATCGACGCGGTGGACGGACCGACGGCGTTCATGGATATCCTGGCCCCTCCGTACGACCCGGACGACGGCAGGGACTGTCACTATTACAAGGCTGTGACTGAGGCCGAGCTGAAAGCCTCGGAGCAGAAGGAAAAAGAGGTCTGGCTCATGGAGATCTCCCAGCCTCCTAATTTCTGGTGCGGAGGGGAGCCTTACCCAGGCCCAGAGGTCTCCCTCTGATCCACCTGACTCACCTGACATGTCCCCACCAGCCTGGTCTGGTTTCTGAAGCAAGACCTTTTGGACTTGGTTGGACAATAAATGGACCCTCTGATTGTGTTTAGAAGCACCAGAAGCTACAGAAATCAATGAAGGGCCAAAAATAATGTCTTTTAATTATGACTTTGAATGAATTACCACAGCTCAAAATAAGCCAATAATTAAACATTAACACTGCTGCCCTGTAAATCTGTGCTTTAATAGGTGAACCATCAGGAACCAGTAATGTGGGCCTCAGGCTGTACACTCAACTGTTGGATCAGCTGGTTTCACCAAACATGTCTGTTAAAGTTTAACATTTTAGTATGATTTGACTTCCTCCTCGCGCAGCGACCTATCAGATCAGCAGTCAGGGGCAGTTTGAATAAAAACGGGTTGAGAAAAGCAGTTAGTGCTCCCAGTTGGAAATGTTTGACCATAACTGGCTGTGAGGTTATTCAGGATTCACTGGAGTGTGTCACAAACATGAAGTTACAATCTGAACGAGTAAAAAAAAGGAAATACAGGACTTTCCACAAATCAAAACAAAAGAAAATCATGACTTAAAAAAACCAAGTTAGGTTGTATTTGTAACAAAATCAGAAATAAGGTAGATCATAGATAAAAACAAGCAGGCACTGGTTTTTGCCTGACACTTCACATCCTGATAAAACAAATCAGAATTTCTTGTGAACCAAAATGTTCTCGTTTCTCGGAAAAACATCAATAAACCTGCAGATGTTCTTGACTTTACCTCGTATTGATGGCGTGTTCAAGTCCAGGATGATTTGCTACTACCCCAAATGTTATTATTACAGTACAAACTGTGTTAGGACGGGTTGTTGTTTTTTGTAGTTCACATAAAATTTCCCTCCCAGTGACCTTTGACCTCCTCCCACACTGTTTCAATCAAGATATTACATCAACAAAGCATGATGTACAAGTATGGAAAGCAACATGGGACAATCTTCATTCGGTAGAAGAAATTTTAAACAAAGTGATTAAATTGGGTATTATATACAGTTGGTTTAATATCACCCCAGTTATTTGAACTAAAATTAATTTCAGTTCAACATAAACCTGGTGTGTTTCCCCGCATTTCAATTCTTAGAGTTCTGAGCACATCCTGTTTGTACTGTAACGCCACTAGATGTCAAGATCAAGACATTTGCTGCTCTAACTTGAAGTAAGTTGACACCAAAATCATCTTCTGACATGTTTAAAAAGAAACCAGTTAACAAGGTGTTCATGTTTCTTTAAAAGACAGCGCAGTAATCTAAACCCTGGGTTCTCAAAGCAGCTGATAAATAATAAATTAACCAGTGGCAGAGACTAGTTGTGGTTGGAAATAGGAGTGCGCCGGTTGTAGTTTGACGATCACTGATTAATCTTTAATAAGTCGGACCTGCCTGTTCTGATTTTGGTCGACACTGATTTAAATAACTGATAACTTTAATGTTCCAGTCTTATTTTACTAAGAGCATTATACCCTTGAAACAATACGAACTTGTTTTAACTGGACCTGCTCCCAGCAGAGCAAAAAGGGACAGTGATTTTTCAGACCTTTGTGGAGGGAGATGAGCAGCTGATCTTTTGAAAGTATCGGCCGCCCTCCCAAAACGAAGGAAATCTGTGCCTCTAGTAGGAATTATTTAAGCCAATCAAACACAACACTCAACAATTATTCATCTATTTCTGTCCATACGCTAAATATATCTTGGAGTAATTACAGCAAATGTTAGTAGTCATTTTAAAATTAAAATTATTATTTTTTAAAAGAACCCAAAGTTGGTGCATCATGAGCCACATGGATCCCAACCCCGACTTTGGGAACCGCTGATCTACCCTTGACAACAACAAAGCGTTCTGTGTTTCCTCTATACTTTTTCCTCTGTAGCACGTGTCAAACACAAGGCCCGCTGGCCAAATGTGGCCCGCGGGTGACTCCCGTGTGGCCCGCCAGAGGAGGTCCCCTCCCAAACAAAAATTTTCTTTTTTTAACTTAACGTGAAATTTGTGTCTTATATCAATGGTAAACTTTAAATTTATGGTAAAATGCAACAAAATTTATTCAATAAAAATAAAGGAAATAAAAATAAATTAAAAAAATTCCTGTCCTTGAGCTGTTGGCTTGAAGTAACTGAGCAATTTAGTTGGATAGCACAGTACTAATGTCTGAAAATAAGCTGCTTTAAAGTCACCATCAAACATAAACTAAATCTGCCATAATGCAGCTACTCACTAGAAACTCCTCAGTGAGTAAATCTTTTTCTGTTTTACTTTTAATATTTCTGTATTTATTTCAGATTTAGTCAGTCATACACTTATCAGTGTTTAAAAGAGGACAAGTTAAAACTGTTTAGTCAAAGTTAAACATGAAACATCAAAGTTTATTACAACTGGCCCTTCAGGGCCACCATAACGCTCATGTGGCCCTCGGTGAAAATGAGTTTGACCCCCCTGATCTATAGCATTCTTTAAAGGAACACAAATTGCAACGCCACATTTTATGCAAGAGTTTTAGACAGAGATAAGTGTCTGTTGAGAAATAACGGAGTTAAAAATCACATTTTTAAGTCAAACTTTGTAAATAGCGTTCAGTACAATCTGCTGGTGCCTGAAGGATGTATTGAAGACGAGTCGCGGTCTTGCCACATTGAATGTTAGTTCAGTATCTCTAAAACAGACAGTCCTTTGTGTTTAAAGGCACAGTGTGTAGGATTTGTTGTTTTCAGCGACATCTAGTGGTTGAGTGGTTGAATCATCCTCCCTGGTCCTCCCCCCACCCCCACCCCCCGCTTCCAAACGCAAAGGAGTTGCTACGGTGTCTCTCAGGTGTCAAAAACCTTTGATAATTCCAACCGCGATGTCTACCAGCAGCTTCAGGGCTAGTGATGTTTCAAGTGGTAAGATTATGAGCTTTAATAAGTAAAATTATCCCAGCTACAATGACAGACAACAAATATTACATTTATAGTATTACAACTAAAACCGTTTTTCACGCAGCCACCGCATTTTGTCCTTCATGAGCCTTCGTAGACAAGATGGCGGTGCAAGATGGCGGCTGCCTGTAGTGACGACACGCGACCATGGAGATATAAACAGCTTTTTATAAGGTAAAAATGATTAGACATGTTTTTATTATATTATCGTCATTAGTGATTATCTCAATTTCGGCTAAAAGAATTGACCAAATCCTACACACTGTGCCTTTAATGAAGGTGATTAGCAGCGGCAGCCATCTTGAATTGGGTGGAGCCTAAACATTCCTTCTTCCAGTGATTTTACGCTCTAAGGATTTCATGAAAATCTGTTTCTTTTTTATTCTTCTGCGACTGTACAGACAGCGTTAACTCTTAATTATTGGCAAAGTTTAAAAGAAGACGTGACAGTGTGACGGTTGTGATTTCAGCTCAAAACTGACTGAGTTGGAGCCACTTCTGTGTTTTCTGTGACGAACATCTCGAATTGAGTTGACTGCAAAAATAATTTAGTTGTAGATGTACATTCAAATCTGTTTACTAGACAGACAAATAAAGCAGGCAAAAACATTTCCCTGTCTTAGCTGCAGATGATTCGTATCATCTGTTTCACTAAAGATTACATTTGCGTGTGAACAGGAGGCACAAACTCATCAGGAAATCTCAGTTTTGGGAAAGTGTCCAGTTTTGTGTGGCCGGTTCATACTGTCTCAAAGTGGAGTCAGAGGTTTGAGTCTCCTGATATTAAAGCAGCAGCTTGTAGTATGAAGCTCGTAAAAACTGAAACCAGAATTTCACAAAATATTAACGAGCGAAAGCAAAACACCCGGAAGTCTTTTGTTCTTTTTTTTAACTGCATGACCTTTAGTCTGAACTCTTACAGATGTAATAATCTCACATTTACTCCTAATGTTGCATATGTTCAGGCTGCAGCTCTGAAACTAATAATCTGTTCAGGTACTAATCTCCAGACTCCTTAAACACAGCGTGTGTGTTTGATTCGTCTTCCTGCTTTGATTTATTCCAGTCAGAAAAAAAACTTCCAGATGTTTAAAGATTCTTGCTATAAAAACTGTAAACTTTCTTCATTGGAAAACTTGGCTCCTCAGGGACGAAATGTGTCGCTGGACCGTGTTGTGATTTTTTTTCTGTTGTGATGAAAAAAATTTAAAAAATAAAGATCTGAAAATGTGTTTTTGTTGAAAATGTAGTGATTTTCAGCTCTGCAGGATGAACTGAGGCTCAACAAACTACTAAAAAACATCATTAACTCTGCAACACCTATAAGAAACCCAGCTTTGTTGAATGTTTCAGTCATTATTTTTGTAGGTAAGAAGCTCTGGTTTGTCCACAGGTCCACGTGGCTCTCACTGCTGCCACAGTGTGGTTAAAGAGAAACTGTAATCATTTTATTTCCACAGGGTTCCTGCAGATCCTTAAAAAGTCTTAAAAGGCCTTGAATTCATCAATCAAAAAACAAGGCCTTTATTAGCCTTAAAAGGTCTTAAATCAGTCTTTCAGAAATCTTAAAAATGTTAACATATTGTACATAGGATGATTGCAATTCATTTCAAATATTAAAATAATTGGTAAAAATTATTTTTTCAAATATTCACATGCAGACATTCCCCTTTGACATCACTTCCTGTTATTTCACATGCAAATATCTCAGTTGTTTATTTGAGCAGTGTGAAATTCATTTTGTAATATGTTAATGTTGTCTTTCCAAAAATGTATTCACTGTTCTTACAAAAATTTGTTGTCACAGGCACTTTAAGGTTTCATCTACAACAAATTGGGGTTAAGACCCCACTGTGGGTCCTAAAACTCCAAATTTTGGGTTCTTAGAAGATTTCCTGAAATTAAATTAAGTTTTAAAACTGACTGCTAAGAATGTTTCTGCTATAGTTAGGTATGGATAAAAACAATTGGTCTATTAGCAGTATTTGAATACGTCAACAAAAAATACTTTTATGAGTTTCTGCCACAGTTTTTATTTTTATTTTTTTTTGTCATTTTTGTTTGTTATGAAATTGGTCTTAAATTTAATTTCACTTGGCATTAAAAAGTCTTAAAACGTCTTAAATTTAAACTGTAGGAACCCTGTTCTAAAGGAAACTCTTAATTTTTCAGGAAAAAAAAATCCCAGACAGTTTCAGGTGTCAGAGTCAAAAAAAAAAAGTCTGGATTCATACATTTGATCTTTTATCAAAATATTTTAATTCACCTGAATTAATAGCTTGTTTTGGCTTCAAATTAAAATGTTTAAAGTTTCTAAAAGTAGCTTTATTTCCTTCATCAAATTGCTTTATTTGGTTTTATTTCTATTTAAAATAAGAATAATAACAACCAGAGTGAATTTTGCTGTTAAAACATCACATGATTTCTCTAAAGTTAGTATTTTAGTAGTTTTTACAAAGTTGCTGTTTTCACAACTGGGTTTTCATCGCCAAAGGTCAACAAAGTAAAAGTTGTTGTATTTAAAACCCTAATGACTCAATTATAGAAACTAGGTTCCACTCATCTGCTCTTTTAA